GGAGAGCAGGCTGGTGTGGGTCACGGCTGACGCGGACGCTCTCCAGGGCTGGCCCCGGGTCGCCGGCCCAAGGCCGCGTCCACACAGCACGGGCTCCTCTGGCTTTCTGGCCTTGGAGAATGACCCCACCCCGCCCAGCATTCGCTGCTGGCAACAGCGGGGGCTCGGGGCCTGCCCAGCTCTCCCATTGTGTCCCCCACCTCCTTCCCCCTCCTCCCTGCTCACAGGACTCCCCAAAGCAGAGCTTGCCCTCGGGGTGGGGGGACACGGCCCGGGGCCCTTCCTCCGGAGACGGGTGGCCGCGGGAGGGGCCGCTGGCCGCCGGGGCTCCTCCGGGCTGAGACAGGACTCGGGCGCTGGCCCTCCGCCACGGCTCCGGGCCAGGTGTGTGGCCACGCCCGAAACCCACGCCCAGGCGCCGAGGCCGCCCACGATGCCCCGGGGAGCGGGAGGCTGCGCAGCTCATGCCCCCCCGCCCCGCCCCGATTTCGGCCGTGCCGGTGCCCACCGAGCACAAAGCCCCGGGTGCAGAGGGCCGTCGCCAGGGCTCCGGACGCCCTCTGTGACGCCACGGCGCAGGCCCCCAGCGCCCGGGGGGAGGGGCGGTGACGCCCGCGGCGCGTGACCCCGGACTTCCACCATCCGCGACTCCCACTCGCCGGGCCCACACGGGCCCCGGTGACCAGGGTGCCCCGGCTGCCCGACGCACGGCCAGGAGGTACCACCCCGGGGTCCCCACACCTTAAACACCGCCCCTGGCCCCGCTCACGCCCGGACCCCAGCCCCGGCCCGCGCGCCGGCCACGGACCCGACGGCTGCCGAGGGCGCGAGCGCGCGACCACCCGCGCGCCGGGCCCAACGGCCCCCCGGCCGGGAGCGGCCGCCGCGCTCACCATGGTGCTAGCTAGGCCGGGCGTGGCCAGCGCTCCGCAGAGAAGCGCCGGCTTCAGCAGGCGGCAGAAGCGGCTGAAACTCATCGCGGCGGCGGGGGCGCCGGGGATACAGCGGCTCCTCCCCTAGCCGAGCGGGCCAATGGACGCGAACTAGCGGGCCTCGCCTGCCCGCCCTCGGCCACGCCCACCCACGCCCTCATTGGTCAGTCACGCCGGCGCTGAGGATGCGTGGCGGTGCTAGCCAATGGGAGGCCGGGGCGAGGGGGCTGGGCTGAGGCTTTGTTGTGATCGGAGACTGCGCATGCTCGCCAGCGGTGTCTGGCCGCGTCCACGCAGTCGGTGACTTACGGAGTTATCCGGGCGGTTGGCGTGGCTGCGCATAATATGAAACAACTTGAGCTGGGAACGGGGGGAGGGATACGAACTCGCAGAAAATCGCTCCAGCTCTTTGAAAGAGGGGGTTTCTTTTTAACCTAAATATAACCAGCCTCTCGGCCGCCGAACTGGAGGTCGGACTCTGCCCACTGGGGTTTGCCAAGGCCGGGCGGCGGGAGGTGTGGGCTCCGCGGTGCCCGCCAGGTGGCCAGTGGCGGGGTGGGGGAGGGCAGGTGTCATTCCCACGGTGAATCTTTAACCGGAGGTCCCGCCCTCCGAGATAACGGACAAACACAAATCTGGGAGTTTCATTTCTGAGTGCGCCTGGCACAGGACTGCGTCCGCTTCTGGGCTTACAGCTTCTCGCACCCCCAAGGAGCAGGATTTTGGCCACGGGAGAGCAGAAAGACCCACCTCATTCTTGGGAACTGAGTCATGCACTTGATTGCACAGGGGCCTGATTGTCCACCCCCCACGCCCGGCCAGGACTAGCACTGGACGTTGACCTGCGCGTGGGCTGGTAATTTCGGTGTTGTGTGCGCCTTCCCGGACCCAGCGTGGTCATTCCTGAAGAGGCCGGTGGGGTCCCAGGGCTAGGTGCACCGTGGGGAGCCTTGCTCTTTCTGCCTCCCCTACTCAAGGAGGGCAGAGGAGGGGGCCTCAGCTATAGAGCAGGCCCTGGGCCGGTGGCTACATGCCCTTTTTGTACAATGGTTTTCACGCGGCTCTGCCCCTCAGCTCCCCAGTGTCTCTGCTGGACCAACCGCTTCACTTCTCAGGAAGCCCCCACTACCTCATTCGGGGACACTGAGTATCACAGTACACCAGCCAGCCTCCCTGGTCCATGGAAAGACTCCTGCTGTTTCCAGTTTTGCTGTGTATGCAATCTGTAACTATAATAAAGGCGGCAAATGATTATTTCAGGTTTGAAAAAAGACAAGGGCAAGGCTGCAACACCCCACCCTCTGACCTTGCGCCAGTAAGATAAGCACCTAGGAGGGGAAAGCTGATCTCTGGGCAGAGCTGCTCGCTGAGCCGGGTACACGCCCACAGGACTTGTGCCTGAGTTTTTGGCATTTGCCAGAGTGACCCCATTTTACAGATAAAGGAATGGAGTCTTGGGAAGTGTTAGGCTTCATGCAGTGAGACCCACCTGTGGTGGTGCCCCTGAGCCCAGCCCCTGAAAGCACCCACCACCCTCCTTGGGCTCTGCCTCTCTCCCCCTCTCCATGTACCATGTACCAACAAGCCTGCCTCCCACACCCACATCACTTCTCCCCCTTAAAACTCCTGACCCTCAGGCCTCCCTAGTGGGTTAAGTCTCAGTGCTGTGAAACTATTGGCAGCCACTGCAGCACGGGTTTGATAATCCAGCCAGGGTGTGACCTCATGGTGCAGCAGACCTTTCCTGTCTCTCCACTGCGCTCCTCAGTAATATATACCAGTAGATCTGCCTGTTCTGGGCTCTCCTTGGTGGCACAACGGGTTAAAGCACCACATTGTGAAGCACTCCAAAGCCACTGCAGCATGAGTTCGATTCCCCCGGCCAGGGAGTGACCCACATGGTGTGACAGACCTCTCCTGCTCACTCACTGCTCCTTTCAACAGTGTAGTTCAGTAGATCCGCCTGTTCTGCTCCCCACTCTGTCTCTGGTAAATCTCACCCACCACACCTCTGGCCTGTACCCCAGTTCTGTAAGCATAAATAAATAAATATTTTTAAAAATCTTCCTCTTCTGCTCCCCACTCTGTCTTTGGTGAATCTTCTCACTCCCCTCCCCTCTATCCACCACACATCTCTGACCAGTACCCCAGTTCTGCTATGCATAAAGAAATCTTTAAAAAACAAACCTCCAGGGCCCTCCCGGGTGGCGCAACTGGTTAAAGCACAGCACTATGAAGCGATCTGCAGCCATTGCAACACGAGTTCAATTCCTGGCCAAGGAGCTGAAGAAAGGCGCTGCAGACCTCTCCTGACCTGCCCTCTGCTCCCCTCAGCAGTGTGCTTCAGTTAATCTGCCTGTTCTGACCCCACTCTGGCTCTGCCTCTCACCGCCCCCCGCCCCGCCCCAGACTTCTGTCCTGTACCCCAGTTCTTATGCGCATAAATAAATAAATCTTAAAAAAATGTAAACCGTCCACTCTGGCTCTGCCTCTCAGGTGGGCACCCAGCTCCGCAACTGCTGTCCTTCTGGAACACACGTGCAGAGCTGGACCTTCTCCCTGAATCTGCCTTCCTTGTGGTCAGTGTCCACTTTGCCAGACCCCTGCCCATTCCTCAGCTTGCTGGGACTGCTCGGTGGCTTGGGTGATCATTCCTCCTCTCCTCCAGATACATTCACCTGAGTCTAGGACACTGGCAACCTCCTCCCCTTTACTCTATTTAAGAAACACAGTTATCCACCAGGTGCCCCTGTGTGGGTGTGCACCGGCAGAGGAGCGGGAGACAGCACGGAGAGCTTAAGTCATGGGCCTTGGTCCACACAACTGGATTGTGGCCATCCACCTGCCTCTGCCACTCTGCCTTCTGCTGCCTCCTCAGCTCCCCCTGGCCCAGGCTCAGGCCTCCGTGTCTAGTCTCCACGCTGCTTGGTGTGACCTCGTGCAGGCTGCCAGCTCTAATATGTACATGTGTGGGTGATGCCACACTTGTCTCCACTCCGACTTCACCTTGAACTCACCTGGTATCCCTCCTCCGCCTCATTTGGTGCCCTTGGAGTTTACACTTCCAAGGCCCCTCCCTAATACCCCCGTGCCTCCTGGGTCTTCCCACCTGCCAGGGCAGCTCTGTGCTCCCGTTTCTTTCTCACACACCCCACATCTGTCCATCCTATGGGCACTGCCTTCAGAACAACAGACCCACCACACTACTCCCCCCACCCTCACTGGAGTCACCCCATCTCTGGCCAGTATGCCCTTCCAGGTCTTACAGTTGTGCCCTCAAAATGCTGAAAGTGGTGTAAAAAGAAAACCCAAATTTTCAATTCAACCAATAAGGCCTAAGGATCTCCCCACCTCAGCCTCTTATCTGCAGCCCCTGCACACACTGCCTGCTGGTGCCAACACACAAGGCGGCGGGCAGCCTTGTACCTGCCGCCGGCTGCTGGACACATGCCTGCAGACATCCCCACAGCTCCAGCTCCTCCCTTGGATTTTTGCTGAACTGGCTTGCTCTCCCTGACCTCCCCATTTAACATTGCACCCCCCATGTCCCTCAGCTTAGCCTCCGGAGGACTGTCACCCCATTTCATCCTTTATTACTTCCTTGTTTTCTGTCCAGTCTTCCCTGGAATGGAAGGGGTGTTAGCCTGTTTTGTTCGCTGTTCCCGTAGTTGCTCAGTATCAAATTGATTGAATAAATGTATTATTGAGCCTCCCCGGTGGGAAGCAGCATAATGAAGCTGCTTCCACAGGAATTGGGTCCCCAGCCAGGGAGCTGACCCACCACGTGGTGCAGCAGATTTCTCGTCTCCACGCTGCTCCCCTCTGCTCCTCAGCAGTGTACTAAGTTAATCTATTCTGCTCCCCACGCTGTCTCTGGTGAATCCTCTCATCATCCCTGCACCTCTGGCCTGTACCCCAATTCTGTATGCATAAATGTATAAATCTTTAATAAAACAAAAAATTATCCTTAAGTAAGAAGTTACTGCTCCAGAGCCCTCCCTGGTGGTGCAACGGGTTATTAGAGCGCAGCACTGCAGCAGGAGCTCAGCCGCCAGGCGCCAGGCAGTGAGCCACAGGGTGTGGCCGACCTCTCTTCACCCCTCAGCAGCAGGCTTCGGTGGTTCCGCCGTTCTGCTCCCCACTCTGTCTCTGGTGAGTCCTCTCACCCCCGCCCCGCATCTCTGGCCTGTACCCCAATTCTTGTGTGCAGAAATAAATCTTTTTTAAAAAATAGAAGTTACTGCTCCCACAGTGGGCCCTGGGTTGCACAGGGCGAGCCTCCTCAGGAATCCAACAGGGGGCAATCAGAAGTTTGTAAAGATATGCACCGTCTGGGGTGCATGAACAGTTTGGGGGGCACGCTGTGGGATATCCTAGCAGAGGCTGTGGCTTGGGGGGACGGGAAAGAGGAAAAGGGGCCTGCGCATCTCATCAACACCAGGAGCTCCGCCGCTTCCCGCCACACAGCGCCGGTCCTTCAACGACACTTTATTATTTTCGATTTACAAACGGGAACACAGAGGCGTGGGGCCTCTCGGTAGACGAGGCCCAGGGCCAGCGGGGCCGTCCCGCGGCGAACCCCCTAACTGACACACAGGCTTGGGGCGCCGACACCCCGCCCTGCGGCCGCGCCGCTTCCGCGTTCTAAACGGCCGCCGCAGCCCAGGGTCGAGCGACACCCCGAGGGCGGCCGCGGTCACAGCGCCGTGAGAACGGCCGGGAGGCGGGGGCGCCGTTCGC